TTAACTTTTGCTCATATGGAGAAAGTTGTTAAATGTGGCAAAATGTAATATGGAATTATGCTGAACCATATTTCATGTCTTCTGCCAACTTTGTTTTTTACTATAGAATCTGTTTAGTAATTTATAATAGCAAGGAGGTGGTTCCCGCTGCTCTCCAAAGATAATTTCATATTTAAGGCCCAGGGTGTATTGTGAAGTACATGCAGCTTTTGGTTCAATTCCCAGCATAAAAAATAATTTCTATTTAATAATATTTATGGCCTATTTCATATTATTTTATTTAATAACAACTTTTGGCAAAAAAAAAAAAAAACACATCTTTCCATAATGTGTGAAACTGTGTATTCATTACTCCAGTCAAAAGCAGAATTGTCCCAAACATAATTTTCTTAATCTCAACTCTTGAGGGTATGGAAGTAATCTTGTTCTTATTTTATAATCCTTTTGACAAAACAAAAACAACTATGGTTTTTACAGATAGTCTCTTGATTGTTTTAAAACAATATATGTCTCAAACATTCTTTTGTTGACTCTATTGCAACCTAATACATAACTGTTGCTGGAAAATGTTTTTCTATTTTTCCTAGACAACAACATTTATTATCAAAGATCGAAAAAAGTTCCTTTGAGATACCCTACATACTTGATAAAGTGGACTATTGCCTGTTTTCTTAGTAAGTAAGCATTTTTTTAAAGTTTTTACAGCTCTGTAATTTTGCCGACAGTGCTCTGTTTCCAATATCCTTTCCTTTCTTTTTTACTTTATAAATGACTTCTCATCCTTCAAAAATGTGATACCTGTCCCTATACAATTCTTCTTGTAGAAATACTGTAGTTCCTATGAATTCTGTACTGGATGTAATCAACCATGTTTATATACAATAGTAGGAACTGTGTAATCAAGCTAGCCAACAGACCAGAGATGAACCCTTGACAAAATCAAGCCAATGAAAACCTTTGGACAGGAATTTGAAGTAGAGTCTTTGAGAGGCTAAACAATTTGCTAAGGAGAGCTAAGCTCAATGGTTATTTATACTGGGGACAGATTTTTTTCATCATGACAAAACATACAGCTAATGTGCAGATTATAATGAACAGAAATTATAAGCAGCTTAATGAAGCCAATCTGTAGAATATTTTCTGTACTCATTTTTAGGAGAAGTTTCATGTTAATTTCTTTTTTGCTCTTTTTTTCTTGTATTTTAAATACTTCTACAGTAAAGAAAATTTACTCTAATTACTTTTATTTTAAAGTAATTATTAAGTGAAATTATAAATTCTCACTGCTCTCTTTTCCTCTTTAGGTGAGGTGAATATTGCAATTTTTACTTAATCTGAAATTTACTGACTGAAGTAAGGATAGAGATATCCTTCTAAATGCTTTCTTTTCCTTAAATAAAAGGACTTTGAGAAAATGGTGGTTCAAATGCTATCACTTTTCTGAGGTGCTACAGACTAATTTAATCATTAATATGTTGTCAGGTACTAGTACACTGTAACAGTATATACGCTTTATTTTCCTATAGTAAGACCTAAAATACTTCCTACAATGGGTTAGACATATGGCAAACATTATTCTCACACTTCTACATTCTCACACTTACAATAATCTATATTCTCTCTGCATTATCAGTGAGGTTATATTCTTTGCCATTATGCAGTTAGAACCTGAGGAAACTATGCCTTCATCCCAAATCAATTTGATTCCAGAGGCTCTGAGGCTCTAACTACTCGATTGAACCAATGCTAAGCATTAATGTTTGTTTATTGTTTACTTTGGTAAATAGTGAATTATTTAACAGTGCAAACCAATGTTTTACACACCTTTTTTTTTTTAAACTTTAATCTTTTTTTGTTGTTTTTCATACTGGGGATTGAACTCAGGTCCTTGTGCTTGTGAGGCAGGCTGCAGAACCACTGAGCTAAATCTGCAGCCTGTACTCACCTTTTTAAATGTACTCACTGGGCGGACTATTGTTAATAAATATACACTGAAATCGAAATTCCTAGCATTACCTAAATTGTAGTCCTAGATTATTGAAGCGATTGACTGTTTCTAAAGAGTCTTCACATGTCAAACATAAAGACCTATACCAGTGCACATATCTGTACAAATATCGGATGTCCATATATTTTCTAGATTTTGATGTAGAGATAATATATGTATTTTATAAATTTATTTTATAAATCAGAGTAGTGTTTTAGGAGACATGGAAATTGTCATTATAAACTAAATGGAAGACATTTTATAAGCCAAATAGTATTTTTCTCTATTTTTTAAGACTATAAAAGAAAGTTGACAACAGGATAAAGTTAGATAATACAAGTCAATTTTAAAATAAAGAAAAGTTTAGTGACTTTATCAATATTTTCTACAAGAGACAGTGGAGCACTAACATGGCTATGAAATTAGAAATATTAAAAGTAATACAATTTATAAATGTATAATTACACTATTAACTTCATGAGTGAATTAGTGAAACTTGCTTTGTTATAGGGAAGTCCATAAATTTTTTGATCTACTAAAATACTAGTAGTCATATTTGAGTTGACTTTTGCTTTTAAACAATATATCTTATCCTCATTGCTATCAACAGTTTTAGTAGTTGAAATAGTCAGCTATCCTAGCAAAACCTGAAAAGGGGAAAGGAATTTAATTTTTGTTTTTGTTGCTTGGTAACTTTTAGAATTCAAGTAAGCTGAACACATCACCTTCAAATGAGTGTTGAGATTAGTGTTTACTGTAAATTTGTTAGGATAAGCCTGTATTTCCCGTCTTCTCCTTTGAGGAAACAAAAGCACTTATCATCACTAGATTAGTGATAAGCAGACACCTCAATATTTTACCTAAGCCAGGCCTTCTAGGTGGCTTGAGAAACCATGCCTTTCAGTTTTAGATTCTGTATCAAAAGTCAGTCACTATACTATAAATATATGAGGACAGAAACAAGTAATTTTGTATCCATAGCACAATATTTGTTAGAATAAAACCTCTGGAAAAAGCTTAATTATTGATGACTGCTTAAATATATTGGGTACAATGATTCCAACATACATACCACAAACAATGTAATTATTAAAAAGACTGAGTCACTTCTCTCTCTACTATGTAGGATGTCCTGCAAGACCCTCAATGTAGAGAGCAAGTGCATGGGGAGCATGTGGTCTATGTGTGAACATAAAATGATAAAGTTCATTGTGATATCTTCCTACATGCACGCATTTTCTTTTTTAATAGTTTAAGCAACCACCACCACAAAACACTTTAAGCAGCCTTTATCTAACAGTTCTACCTTCCTTAAATGATTCTCTTTTAAGTTGTATTTTATCTGACTGCCCTCTTCCAATCTTCTAGCTAATAAAATGTCTATGATTTTGATACAGTTTCTCAACTCCATAAAAGTACCATTTCTTTTTCCTGGCAATATCTTCCTCAGTTCCCAGTAAGATGAGGAGACCTATTCCTCCTGGGTTAATCTCACTCTCTCCCACCCAATCCTGAGGCAGGCAGCAGGCAGGACTAGAACTCTGGCCCTAGACTGGGAGATGCAGTAACAGAGTTTCGGGCCACTGCAGGTTCCAGTGGAAAGGAAGGGATCCAATAGCCAAGGCCCTTTAAGCCTTTGCTCCTTTCCTCTCTTAAACAGAAGCCCCTGCTTTCTTCTTTTCATGAAAGTGTTTCCTGTTTCCTTTCCTCTATTGTGCTTTATTGGAGATGGCAGGCCTTAGAATTGGTCTTTTTGGCACTTCAGAAAGCAAACACATGTAGAAAAAGAAAGTTTCTCTTGTGTGAGGAAGCTGAGACTTCCAGACAAAAGGAATGTACCCACAGACATCCTCTCTGGTTCCCGCTCAGTGAAGAGCCAACAGAAGAAGCTGGTGTCCTGCTGTCTGGGTCCCTAGACACTAAGCCACTTCCGGGAACATAAAAACAACAAGCATTCTAGGACATCTGTGCTATTTAAGGAAACACTTGTACAATTGGTCAGTTACTACTATCCTGTGAATGGCTTAAACCCAACATTTTGTGGTTTTCATGCAGGATTTTAGAATACTGCAGAAAAAGTATAAATTGAAAGGGTGGTTTCCTAATGTAAATATCAAATTTGACAGGTTAGATTTCATGGAGTGGGTTTTCTTTCAAACAATATTTTCCTATCCTTATTTCAATTACTAGATTTCAGTTGAAGTAACAATTAGCTTGCTTAGCAAGAGAAGAGTGGGATATGTGAGATTTCGTGCTTATTTAATAATTATTTTTAAATTAAAGTTATTAGAATAAGTCTTCCTTATATGCAGGGATATTTAAGATATTTCAAATATTTCAAATTAAATTACTCATACACAATTGGCATTCACTTGTTAACTGTATTTCCATGCACACATCATTTTCCTGCCAGCTACCAAGTACTTTGGTCTTGCTTTTCTGGATATTTCCTTCATTGTCCAGTAGGTATTGACCATTCAGGTAATATTAATTTATTGGAAATAAATTATTTTTAATATAGTAATGTAAGATTCAACCTTCTACTACCATGAACATTTCAATTATCAATAGAAAATACAATTTCTTTAAAATTACTCAACATTGTCTTACATTTAGAAAATATATATTCTATCTGACCATCTTTAAACACGTCCTATTTATGTCTCTCTGGAACACACGTGTACACACACACCCACACACCCACACCTCTTCTAAGAACACAGTCCCAAAACTTAGCTGTATTTGTAGTATTTCCTGATATTAAATGTTCAGTTTTGTTTCAAAGACTGTCACAGCAAAGAGTGAAACAGAGTGTAAACATTTAGACAGTGCTAGCTTATTCAGAAACTAAGCTAGTATTTTTATGCTAAAGTTTGGATACCTATCACCTGTTCATCCAAGAGTTTTTTGTATTCTAGACTCTAGAATTAAAATAGGAAAGAGAGGTGCACTTAGGAATTATAAGCTAGTTATTTATTTCAGTTCAACATATAATATTAGTCAAGATAACAATCAATGCATACAAAAATTTACATAAAAAGAGGAACAATAGGCAATGCAGCACCTTTTAGAAAAATAATTAAAGGTTTTGTTACATTTACAGGTAAGTGCCACACTGAGAATTTACAACACAGTAATTTACTGCAATCACAGGGGAGTTCCATAAAGAAACAAAGCTCTCACACTCCACACTTTCAGAAGGTATTATTGGAATGCTTAACTACAGTCACAAAATGTGTACACCCTTTAGGATTGAGCTGACAAGTCATAAAAGGTTTTCATAGCATATATTATATAAGCAGATTCCACTGCATTTGGACAGCTGGTTTAGTGTCGCTGACAGGTGTGAAGCCTAGACGAATTACTGGCTTGATGATGATCTTTCTGTATCCGGCAAGACAGACCTTCTCCACAGTAACAGCGCTGGAATATCTCTAGACCATGGGAACCTTTTCTCCTGTGTTTGGTGCATACTTGACCTTCTTTGAGAACAGGTTTACAGATCTTGGACCAGAAGTGTCTAGCACAACACAATCCTATAGCACAGTCTGATGATCGGAGACAGACAGAACCTTCTTGTCCTGTGAAGGAGGAGACAGTAAGAAACGAAGAGTTATTGCTAAACCTTCATCATGTCATTAAGACAATTCAGAAGCCATTACTGATGTGCTAAAAAGAAGGAATGGATCTTAAGGTGCTTTGATCTACCTTTGGTGTGGTAGATTTTTGAAGACAGTGTGGTTCTTCTGGAGTACCCATCCAAGGTGCCGTGATCATTACCAAAGCTTTCAATGATGGATTCCTCAATTTCCCCTCTATGGAAATGACTGTGATCAGAAGGCATACATATTCCTAATGAAGCAGAGGATAGCAATTAATTCCAGTGTTGTGCTATGTTACTGCTAACAGCCAACCATGACAGAAACAGTCTGTTATTGCCAACCTGAGAGAGTGTGTTGCAGTGACTTTCTTTTAAGAACAGGCCAAACTTCCTTCCTGGTATTTATTAATGCAAAACACCCCAAATGGACAAAAGTATCAATAACAGTATAATCGACACCGTACAGTCATATGCAAAAACCCCAGTCTAGCTTTTCAAAATATTTTCCCAATAACTGCGATGGTGCCAGTGAAATTTCTGCCCATTTTAATATCACAATAGGGTAAGTTAACCAGCCACTTACATTCTTTTTTCTTAAAAATAAAATTCTTGGCCTATGGTTCCATAAGGGCACAGACAAGTTAAACAAGCCCACTTCCAGCTGCCTGGAAGATTACTATCTCACTCATCAGTTACTTCACTGTATAATTTCTGTATTACAGAGACAGTTAATTCAGCCTAGAGTACTGCTCTGTACTAAAGAGGGTAGCCACTCTAAGTTTATTTCTGGAGACCTCTTTGGCTGTCTGAGTACCTCCTTGAGAAGTTAAATTTGTGTGGATCTGTGGTTATGAGGAGGAGCAGTTACTTTAGCAGAGGGTGGAGGGAGAAGGAAAGATGGAGACACCAGAATGCTAGGGTACCAAGATCTCACTTTAAAACGGCCAGCACAGATAAATCGCTCTGTCCTTTGGGTGGTAAGTTTCAAAATCCAGGGATAGCAGACAAAATGCCAGTCTTAGCAAAACCATGACAGTCACCTCAAAAGCAACAACAAAAATGGAATGGGTAGCAAGAAGACAAGGCTCACTTCCAAGGTCTCTGGTTCAGAATGATGGCCTCCCTGTCTTCTTTCTTAGTTGACCACTAGGGTGAGGAACACAGAGGAAAACAAAGAGCTCTCTCTCGACCTCTGAATTTCATTTCCTCTCGGGCTAAACACTCGCAACGGGACTATTTGAATGGAACCTGAAAACTTGAACACCCATTTACTTGCAGGTGGCGCCCCAGTATTCGCAGAACGGCGAGGTTCTCTTTCTCCGGTAGGCACTCAAAGGCAGACGGCTTGACTCGGAAAGGAAGCCACCCAAGACTCACCGTTTTTGCAGTAATTCCCGGGGCAGCACATCGCGTGGCGCATGCAGCGTTTGCGGCGCTTCCTGCAGGCCAGACAGATCTGCACGCCGGCGCCCCCTGCGCGGGCAGGACTGGAGCAATACTCGTCGGTGCTGCACTCCTCGTCCTCCGCGCACGGGTACGGCTGCGGAAGGGAGCGGAGAGGTGAGGAGCCCGGGCCTCCCGGTACCAACACTGACGGGCCGGGTGCTCGGCACAGTCCTTATCTGTCCGCCTCTCCAAATCTAGCCGCCCACTGTTCCCAGACGTAGCATTTCCGGGAGGGCACTCAGTTTCACACACACAGCACCTCCTTTACCCTCCTCTCCGAATGGGAGCCCTTCAAGGTCACAGCGTCCCTAGATCCCCGACCCCTCTCACCTGGTAATTGTCAAGGGCCTGGTACTTGTTCCCGCCCTCGTACAGAACCCCAGGTGCCGCGCTGACTGCGGAGCCCGAGTGCCCGGCAGCGCCCCCCAGCGGCGGGGGGACGTTCTTGATCGCGTTGGAATTGACCAGCACCGAGTTCAAGGTGGCGCTCACTCCGAGCCGAGGGTGGCTGCCCAGAGCCACCGCTACCAGGGCGACGAAGAAGCGAGCAGCTCCCATTGCGCCCAGGGCCGGCATCTCAGAAGGATTCAAGAGGGAGACAGAAAGAGAACGGAGGGTTGTCACTGTGCAAGCCGGGTCCCAGCGAAACGAAACGTGCTGGCGCGGGCCCGGGCGTCCCAGAGTCCCGACTGCAGGGCGCCCGCAGCTCTGCTCCGCCACCGCCACCCGGGCTGCCTTTATACCGCGGGCTCCGAGCGTTCCGGCCCCTGGGGGGAGACAACAAAGCGGGGATGGGATTTCAAAGCGCTGGGAGGGACTGCGAGGGGGTGTGTTTGTGTACTTGAAGGGAGGGGGCTTTGACACCGTGCACCCAGCCCTTCCCTTGCACGGTCGTCGGTCTTCGCTGCCGTCCTGCTCACTTCTGAAGTGAGGAATCTCAGTGCACGTTAGAGCAGGGGACCTAAGAACCTCAGAGGGCGGGAGAAACTGCGAGCTCGGTGCTCGGGCCTGGCAGTAGAGCTTGAATTATTTGCATCTGAAATGCCTTGCTCAGCCAAAAGGTGATAGTCACTGCCAAACCTTTTCTCTCCTGTCCCTTAAGCCAATATCCGTTTGAGCATGCAAACAATATTCAGTTTTAAAAACAACCTCCTCGATAATTCAAAAGTCCTAGGGAACAGCTGTACTAGAAGGCCAGGTGTAAGTTACAGACCAACCCTCTAGAGTCTGGATTTTGTCCTGTTTCTAAATTCCTCCAATGGCTTCTCCCCGCCCTACCCAACTTCTCCTTTCCACTTTGAGAAAAATGTGCAAAGAGAAGAACATTTGCACATCAAACGACGATAAAAAGGAAAAAGGACTAATTCTCTTTTGATGGGAAGTTTAGTGACGGAGGCGAGAGATTGGCATTTGAAAATTAGATCGGGGTGGAGGAAAGAGGGAAATGATCATTCGATAATCAAACTATTTAATGTGGCCCTTTGAATCCAGTGGGTCGCGGCCGTAGATGAACTTGATTAGACAGACTTGGGAGATCAAAGTGTCCAGAGACAAACCGCACAGGGTCCGCCGTGCTGGGTCAGTAGTGCCTCCTGGGCTCCCACTTCTCCGTGAAGGACTAATGGAGGGAGATAAGAAACCCTAAATCCTTAGCGCCTGATTTCCTCAGTATTTCATATCCCAAGGCTTGTGTTTGATCCCAAGTCAAACCCTTCCCTGGACGAAGGCATTTTATCCACTTCCAGGGATTTAACACACGACCTCCTGAAAAAGGGAGCCAGAAGTGAACCAGAGAGAATTTCACATTATTTAATTCAGTATATAAATTTAACAGAACATTCTGGTGTAAAAGAAAGTTGTTGTGCTTATAAATTACAAATAATTAACTTTTAGTCAATAAAAACATAAATCAAGCTTAGTTCCCTGGAATCATCATTCTTCCACCCAAGGTATAGCTTTTTATTTCCCTTTTTTGAGGGGGTTAGGGTGGGATGGGGTAAGGAGTAAATATAAATATTTAGAGACAATTCTCACACCGGAGAATAAGAATCAAATTCTCTTCATTCTAGTTATAGCACTGTAAAAGATACAATACTAATAAAATAATAATAATAAAAGGTAAGAAATGTAAAGAATCATTTTTAAAAACAGGCTGATGTTGTTAATGTGAGGAAATGGACAGCTGTGTGAGTTTGCAGAGAAAGAGATTATCAAAAGTCACTATTGAATAGAAAAGAGTGAATATATTTATATTGTACTCCTCTAATCTTTAGGTTATCTATGCAGTTTGATAAAAATATGGTTAAAGTTTAAATATTTAAAGAATTATTACAGTCAAAGAAACTAAGCTATGTTCCCCGCCCAAATACTCCCACTGACTCTGAACTCACTTGTCCATTATTTTTTACCACTTCCTGAGCAGTTCTGGAAGTCCTTTTTCACAGGTGTCTTTAGATTTGCTGTCATGGCTGCCAAAGAGTCCCGAGTTTGTTGAAGACAAGCCCTTCATGTCATTTTTGAATTTGGGGAACAGCCAGACATCACAAGGTGCCAAGTTCAGTGAATAAAGTGGATGAGGACACATCATATGTTTTCACAAGCCTGTCTCTATTTGATGTCACTTGATTTCAGCAGTATTCACTGTGCTTTTGAACACCTTCATAAAGTCATTCACAAAAGAAGATTCCCACAGCTTCTCCAGAAAGTGGCAAGAATGTTCTCAGGGAAGAAGATGATCATGTGTCCTTTACTGTATTAATTTGGTTTATTTAAACATTCACCATTCAGATAATTACTCCACATACTGATCTACTGCTGTCATGACTGTGAAGACCCCTGAGTATGCCGATGATAGTCTTGAAGACTCTAATCCTCAATCTGAATGCGAAGGTATATTTAAAATGCATTTGGTGATAATCTGTGTTTTGGTTCCTTGGATTTCTGAAGTCATATTAAATAATAGTTTGAGACAATTCTATAATGGTCTTTCTAGTTACAGTGGTGTCCTCATCATCCCAAGTTCGGATGATCGTGAAATGTCTCTGATTTATTGGTAACTTCTGTTTAGAACTCGTGTGAATTAAAATTTATTTATTTATTTGTTTGTTTATTTAGTTTTAGGTTTCATTGTGACTGTATCTAATGATGTAGACTTGGCTACTTCTCTTCAAAATTTAAAACTAATTTATCACCCTACCAATCTGGAGATTTACACAGGCACACAGATATTACAGGGTTGAAAATAGGATTTTTAAGTACTGTATCATCATTGGAAGATATTAATATCAATATTCAACATGTTGAGCACATGTTCTGTACTACATAATGTACATTTGTGTCTTATGTGTGGTATTGAAATGTGGGGAAAGAACCCCTTACCCACCTGAAGAGTGAAAATGTCTTTTCCTGATCCTACTATCCAATTTAAATATTTCTAGCATTATATTATATTATGCCTCAGAAAAGGATAATTTCTTTCCCTCTTTTCAGCAGAGATGGTACATGACTGATAAATTCGTGTAGAATTTTATTAACAGCTTGGATTCCCAAATGAAACCAGATGTGTGGCTTTTACCTTCCTCATTTTTTCATGTTCCTTCTGAAGCTGTTACTTTTGAAGTTGTCATGAGTTTAAATCAAATAACAAATAGATCAATATCTGAATTCCTGCTCTGTGCTAAGCACTATACTTGGCCTGTTTAATAAAAGATGAGCATTCATAGTATTTTTATTCAGATTATTTAGTGGGGGGAGAGGATGTGAACTCAAAAATTATTCAGGGGAAAAACTAGGTAGGTGGTCCTTAGAGAAGGCTGAATATGTGACAAGACAATCTGTTGCTCCAAAGAGAAAAATTTGTTTTTTTCAGTAGAGTCTCCATTTGAAAATCATTTTCATAATTTCTTTTGCTCACAGGCATCAAGAGAAGATTGGAGAAGATGTAAGTTTCATTGTTTTCTTAGGACTTCTTAATATTCAGTGATGCCCATTATTAAGAAATAAATTTCAAAGATATTAAGGGAAGGCTTCTGCAATATGTATTTAGTCCATCTGTGAGAGTTGCCCAAGTCCTCACAGTTTCAGCATTGCTGAAAAGTCCAAGTCTAAAGTCTCCTCTGAGACTTAAGGCAAACTCTTAGCTGTAAGCCCTGTAAAAGCAAAAGAAAGTTAAAACACCACCAACATTTGATGGCACAGTGTAAACTCCCATTGCTAAAGAAGGAATAGGGGACTAGAAAACAAAGGGACCCAAGCAAGAGCAAAACCCAGCAGGTAAACATCAAATCTTGTAGCTACATGACCAGTGCCCAGGGCAAGTTATGGTGCAATATGAGCTCCAAATTGCATGGGTGCCCCTTCCCTAAGACACTGCCAGTGGTTGTAGCCCTCGTGGCTTTTCCTTGGGGTTGGCTTTGCTCACTCCTTGCAGCCTTCTTCAGATGTTCCACATTTCTGGCTTCTCCATTTTCTGGGCTTCATGATCATAGCATCATGCAACACCCCCTCAGGGTTCCACTGTCCGTCCTCCCCAGGCCTTTCTTCTAAAATCTGAGTGAAAGTTGCCATAAATCAACAATTCTTCCATTCTGTGTGCCTGTAAAACCAGTACCACGAAGATGGACACCAAGGTCAGTGACCAGCTCAAGTAGTAGCCAGGCTACTAGATGCCTAGATGGCTAAAACCTGAACATAATCCTAGGGAGTCCATTCGTTAAGCAGCCTGTCTTCAGCAGTGTGCCCTTGGGCTCTCTTCTTAAGGTAAAATCTTTCACTTCTGCAACTTTGAACCTCTAAAAAGTTTTGAGTACAAATTTCTGACATGCGTTCAAGCCATTTTTCCCATTCTTGTCATCCAAAGTAGTGGGCTTCCTTTTAATACTAATCCTTCCAGCATTCAAGCCCACCACTGCAGCTCCATCTTTGGGAGGATCAACTTTACAGGAGCTTCTCTTCGGGTACAATTCAAAACTTTTAAAGTCAGTTTACAAAAAAGTAATTTGCCCTTTATTGTTCAATGTAGAATGGGATAAAAGCCACCAACATTAGTGATGACACAGCCTGAATGTTGGGTTGCCCTGAAAGTTCCTCCATCAAATTAATTAATTCACCATACTTAATCTCAGTCTCCCTCAAAGTCTCAGAGCATGAGACATGAGACTGGGTAGATAGATTGCCTGTCAGAGCATACCACACATCACTTAGAATCCAACTGCCAGTGGAGTCCTTGTTCCCAACTGGAACCTCTTACTGCCGGTATTTATTGTGTGCATTTTATCAGCCTTCTGATTTTTGATCAGATTCTCCCATCAATTCTGGCTTACAGTATTCCAGAGCCTCTCTAGCTGACCTTCCCACCTTTCTAAACTCCTCCTGGGAACCAGTTCCAAAGCCTTCTGAGCCATGTGATCAGGTAGTGTCATAGCAATAGCCCTCCTTCTGTGGTAGCAAAATCTGTCTTCGTTACTTTTCTCATCACTGAGACTAACACCCACCACTTTAGAAAAGAGAGGTTTATTTTTGGCTAACAGTTTGTAGAGCTGTCTCAGTCCGTGGTCAGCTGGCTCCAAGTCAGGACAGCCCAGCACAAGGGCATATAGCATGCAGGAAACACGAATGAAGGGGGGAGCTGGGAAGGGAGATAAACCCTTCCAGGCTTTGGCACCTGTTACCTGTCTCTTCCAAGCAGACCCCACCTCCTGAGAGCACATTCAGCTTTAATCTCCTTCCTGGACCAATCTCCTGATGAGGATAGTGCCCATAT